GTGTGGCATGCAGATTCTTTTTTCTGTTCTGTAGACTGCCTTTCAGTTTTGGGGCTGGTTTCTTTTAAGGTACGAAAGGTTTTAGGTTTAGTGGTGTCCCACTTGTTGATTTTTGCTTTTGTTTCCCTGGGTGTTGGGGTTGTGTTCCCTAGTGCACTTTGGGGCAACTGTCCTAAGTGTGCCCCTATATTTTCTGTCAAGTACATCACCAAATATTTACTCCATTTGGAATTTTATAGATTGATTTATTTATCCATATAAGAGCTGGGGTACAGGCCAGACATGTGGTGGGTGAGAGGATTGACCAGAGACAGTGGGGAACAAAACAGGCAGATCTGGTGAAGTACATTACTAAGGGGAACAGCAAGGAGACAGGAGAGGTCAGGTGTGCCGTGTGGGTGAGTTCCCTGAAGGGGATCGAACTCATGCTGCAGGGGCTGTGGATAGCTTCATAGTGCTTTGCCTTAACCCCTTGCTTCACCAGGGAGACTCCATGTTGCTGTATTAAGTCAGTTGGAATTTGTTGAGGATTTTCGCTTCTCTGTTCTTTGGTGGTGTTGGTCTATTTTTCCCTTTTATGCTGTCTTTTTTTTGGGGGGATCAGGGCAATGTTGACCTTGTCGTATGTGTTGGTGAGTTTTCCTCCCTCTTCAGTGTTTTGGAAGATGCAAATTTCTTTGTTTTTACTTCATAGTTTTTACTTCATACTTTGTTTTTACTTCATAGTCTCTCTGATGATTTCTTTTGTGTGTCCCTGAATGCTTGAGTATCTTGTGCTCCCGAATGTAGCTAGTCCCTGTGTTCAGATCTGGTCTCCCGTCTTCAGTCTGCACTTCTCCTGAGTGAGTCAGTCAACTGTGTTTTGCCATTTCTGCCAGTTACACTTGAGCGTGGGCCTCCTGCCCAGGCCTAGTACCAGAGGCTCGGCTCCCACCTGACTGTGCCTGTAGCTGTCCCGATGGCACCTGCTGCTCATGCAACATGCAAACCTTGTCCTGTGTTGTGCCCTCCCGTGTGGAATTACATCCTTCTCAGCCCAAGTCTCCCGCCACCAGAAAGGGATTTCTCTGTTCCAGAGTTTAGTCTCACCCAATGCAAGTTACTCTTCAGTATTACCTGATATCTTAAAGGTTGCTAACAACAGCACCGCCTTGCATGTGTGCATGCGTGCGTGCGTGTGAGTGTGTGTGTTCACTTTCTTTCACATTACAGTTCTCATTCTTGGCCAAACCTGATGGATGCGTTTTCTCAGTGATGAGGTTGCTCCCTTTTCTGCCTCTGACTGGCCAGGGTGTGGTGACACCTCAGAGTTCAGGGGAGAAAGTACTCAGGAGTCAGTGGGACACGTTTGAACAAGGGTCATGACACAGACACTCGCTGAGTAAAACCAGGGAGCGGAGATGTTCATCATTTGACCTTTGGTTGTTGGGAGTTTATGTCAGTGATGCTCAATGTAGTTTTTAATAAAGAGCTCCAGGTATCTGTCATCGAGTCTGGAGTATAGTTGGTGTGTTTGCATTTGTCATACGTATGATTCTTGCTGAAGTTACGGTTAATGGTAGATTTTTTTAATTTTGATAGATGTTTATAGAATATTGATAGAATGAATATATTTTGCAACCTAATTTTACCAGCTCTTCTGTCACCTGTGACCATGCAAGTGTTTCATTTTATAAACCTTTGTACTGTGGGGAGCAGCAGTGGCTGCTCTGCTGCCCAGCATGACTGTTGCTTCTTTTTCTCCTTTTCCTAGAAAATGTGGCCCTCCATTCATTCATTCATTCATATTTTAAAATATGAACTTATTTATGCATACAAAAACTGGGGTATGGGCCAGAGGTGTCGGGGAGAGGATTCTCAGAGACAGAGTGGGGAGCAGAACAGGCAAATCTATTGAAATACACAGCTGAGGGGAGCAGTGGGCGAGTCAGGAGAGGTCTGCCACACCATGTGGGTAGCTCTCTGGCTGGGGATTGAACTCATGCTGCTGTGGCTGCGGGACAGCTCCATAGGTAGTGCCTTTACCTTTGAGCCACCAGGAAAGCCCCTGACCCTTTATTTAAATGTAAAATAAAAAGTCTCCTTTCGCTGTCATTGTATGCGGTGTTCTTTGGCATTTAGTATCTGACAGTGTTACGCAGCCATCACCACCTTCCAGATTTTTTCATTTCCCAGTAATAAAATACTGTACTCATTAAACTCTCGCTCCCAACTGCTCTGTCTCTCAGCCCCTGTGTCCACCATTTACTTTCTGTTTTCAAGAGTTTGACAACTCAGACCTGTATGAATGGAGTCTTATTACACCTTGTTTTCTTGGTCAATCTCTTATTTTATTGTATTGTTAACTGTTTTGTCATTTCATAGGTATCGTACAGGAGTGCATTCATATTGTAGTGTGTGTCATTGTTTAGTTCCATTGTGAGGCTCATTAATAATCTCTTATGTGTATTTTCCAGTCTTATTTATCCATTAATCCATCACCTGGGGCTTGGGTTGATTTTTCTTTGGGCTGTAATGACTGGCGGTGCAGTGACTGTAGGTGAGCAAACGTCTCTGCCCGTCCCAGCTGTCCCTGCTATTGGTGAACACCCCGGGGTGGGGGTGGTTCCTCCTGTCATTCTGAGTTCCCTTTTCCCAAGAATCACCTTCCTGTCTTCCCTCCTGGCTGCATCATTTATGTTTGCCCCAACATTGCGCAAGGGAGCCAGGTCCCAATTTTTGCCAGTACTTGTTCTTTTCTTTCTTTTTAAATCATTGCAATCCCAGCGGATGTAAAATCTCATCTCTTGTACTTCTGATTCATTTTCCTTCGTGACTGATCATATTGAGAACGCTCATGTGTTAGGACCTGCTTGGGTATGTGATTTGCAGAGCTGTGTATTCCAGTCCTTTACTCATGGCTGCACCTTTCCATTTTGAACAGGGTCGGAAGTGCAAGGGGATTTTATTGTCCCATTTCGTCATATGGTCCTTTTATGGCATCCTGAGCCCACTCCTGCTGGGAGGTCCCCGTGAGTTTCTGTGCGCAGAAATGAGCCATCCACCTTCTCTCTGCTGTTGTTTTATTTCTCGTATTAGTGTTTTAATCAATGAACCTGTAAATAAATGCATTTTTGTTTTTGTAGAACTGGGATGTGCCAGGTTACCTTGCGAGAGTTGCTGTCAGTGCAGCAGGCTCATAGTGTCCTGGATGCTGTTGTGTCTTTGCATTTGTTTAATTCATTGTTTAACCCTCTGGGTTTCTTTATTCCAGTGAGTCTCTGCCCTTGGTTCCGCTACATGCATTGCTTACTGTTTTGTCATTTCACTGGCAGCGTACAGGAGCTCCTGTGTATGTGAACACGGGTGTGTGTTATAGTCTGTTCACTGGGTTTTCCTTTCCACAGTCGCTTTACTGTGGCTTTCATTAGTTTTCCAAGAATGAATTATAACTAGTTATGACCATTTTTATGTTTGTTGTCTTTTTGTTGTTGTTACGTAGCATCACCCAAACCCATTGTGAATAGGGGACACTGAGCGTCTTTGTTAGTCCTTCTCTCACTGGGAATGTTGATGTCACCTGTGGCTGTCAAGGACTTGTTTTGTGTTGAGGAAAAATCCTCTGAATCCTTTTTTAGCTAATACAAATGGAAATTTATTTTAATGGGTTCCTATTCTGTATGTATGTGGAGGTGCACAGGATTGACTACACAGGAAAGGACATGATGGAATAAATTTACTGATTTCTTAAGATGTTTGTTTTCTTATACCGTGTATCTTATTTTTCAAAAATCTTTCATTGCTATGATCTATTTTTTTCTTTCTCCAAAAGAAATATTTGTCTCTTCTAGTTGTTTTTCCTCTTCTTTCGATACCTTTTGTTCTGGTCACCGTGTTCTCCCCTACGGTGATGAAAACTATCAATAATATTCTGGAGATTCCCAAATTCTTTCTTTTCCTTAATATTTATTTTATGTATGCATATAAACGTTCGGGTGTAGGCCACAGGTGCAGGGGGTGAGAGGATTCACCAGAGACAGAGCGGGGAACAGAAGAGGCAGACTGACTGAAATACACTGCTGAGGGGAGCAGTGGGGAGACAGGAGATATCTGCTGCACCTTGTGGATAGCTCCCTGGTTGGGGATCGAATTCGTGCTGCAGCAGCTGCCGATAGCTTCATAGTGCTGAGACTTAAACTCTTGTGTCACCAGGGAGGCCCTGATTCCCAAATTTCTGTTTTCACCTTAGACTTCCTGATCTATCAGACACATGTCCAGTTGCGGGTGATATTCCAGTGTCTACCAGCCCATCATGCAGACAGCATACTAGGAAAACATACCTCGTACCTCAGCCACCAAGTTATTACCAAGTTCTCCTCCCCTTTGTCCTTCCATTTTAGAAGTAATGACCTGTTCTGTCTTCTTCTGACTCTGTCAGCTGAACATCTTTTCTTAAAATTTTATTTTATAAATATTTTACATCATTTTTTATTTCTGCACAAGTTATGCATTTTCATATTGGTTATAGTCCCCATACATCCCACCCCCCTTATTTTAACCCTAATCCCTCCACCCCCCATAGTGCATCTCTGGTTTATACTTGCTTATAGTTGAACATCTCTTACCTTTGCTTTTTCCCACCTCATTGCTTGAACATCCTGGTTTCAGGTTCAGTTTTTGTTTACTGTGAGTTGGAGATACCAGGCTTTGAGGTCACAGGAGTAAAATATTGGCACAAAGTTGCACATGCTTTTCATTTGTTATGAAGCTCCTTTAGCACATGATTCCGGGTGTATGTCTGTTACACCTGCCAGCCAGGCTATCAGCTCCTCAAGGAGCCAATTTTATTCATCCTTTTATTCTTATAATCAGAGACACTTCAAATATATAAGGTAAGCTATAATTTTACGTGTAGGACCAAAGGGGTGAATGTAGAGGTGAGGCTCTTTCAACTGCAAATTCTATACAGGACCGAAGACCCACAAAATAAGATTTGTTTGCACTTGCTCTGTCTGACCCAGGCTGCCGGCCCTGAGATGAGAAATGTTCCCTCAGAAGGGACGGTGTCATTTGAAGATGTGGCTGTGAACTTCACGTGGCAGGAGTGGCGGTACCTGAGTGAAGCTCAGAGGACCCTGTGCTGGGATGTGATGCTGGAGACCTGCAAACACCTGGTATCTCTAGGTGAGGTAGCTCCAGTGTAACACTCTAGTGCAATGCTGTCTTATGCACCGATAAGTGTGCACTTGCTTATGAAACTGAGTGTTGGTGAGGTTGAACATGGCAGGCAGTATACATTGTGGGTGTTTCGGTTTTCCTTTGGAAATATTCAGATTGGCCTCTTTTGCACAGCTCTTCACACTGCATTTGTTAGTTTTCAAAGACTGAAGTTGAACTTGATTGAAGACCAACACTGTTTCTCATCACAGGGCCCTGTGTTACCGATCCTGAGGAGAGCATCAGGTCAGAGCAGGGATTACAGCCGTGGACTGTGGACGATCCCCCAAACCAGGACCTCTCAGGTCAGTCAGTGCTTGCCAGGCCGGGAGGCTGGGAGTGTGGCCAGTGATATTGGCCACACTGAGGTGCTTTTCCAGTGTCCAACCTTGGAGAGTGTGTCTGCATATATCAAACTGATTCTTTATTCAGTTTCCAAAGATTACTCACTTGTGAATTTCGTCCTGCTCTTTTAATGATGGTTGTCTATGTTCTTAAACCAGTATGCAGTCCCTGATACTGTGGGGATTATTCTGGAGTAATCACATTTCTCTGTTCTCTTTCTTAGTGTATTCTCATAGACTGTTTTCTTTAGGTACCTGTTGAGGAATTTTTTTATTCTTTCTGTATGTTTATGGGAAGTTTAGCCAGTGGTAAATTTTCTGAGAGGGGAGAGCAACAGTACTCACAGAAATGATCTTTACATTCTGAAGTTATATGCTCTGTGAGGAAAGAATATGCAATAAATACATTTATTAATAGAGAGGTAAAGCCCCAGAGGATGTTTGACCAGCATGAGTGAAACAAAGTGGAGGATGTTGTTTTTGTGAGTGCTCCATACGCATCATTATAGAGATTAATTCTTTTCTTTCAGAGCTCAGGTGAGGTGAATGGGTTGCACTGACATGTCATATCTATAGTTCCCTCTGCAGTCTGGGATAGAGGCTATGTATTGCTATTGGAGATGTCACTGAGCGGGTGACTAACTCAGTGATAGAGAGGCGTTGACTGGAGAGTTATTTAGAACATGAGTAGTGTTTCAGGGGCAAGCCTTGTGACCGCCCTCAAAGTAATTGTGAGGCTGAGGAGGACCCAGAATTGTTCAGTAGAGGAAAATATATAGCAATAGAAGCTCCCATCAAGAAACAAGAAAGAACTCAAAGAAACAACCTAATCTCGAAGCTCAAAGATCTAGAAAAAGAACAACAAAAAACCCCAAAACCAGTAGAAGAAAAGAAATAATAAAAACCAAAGCAGAAATAAATGAAATTGAAACTCAAAAAAAAAAAAAATCCAAAAGATTAGTGAAACCAAGAGCTGGTTCTTCGAAAAAATCAATAAAATAGACAAACCCCTAGCCAGGCTCACAAAGGAAAAAAGGGAGTAAGCACAAATAAACCGGATCATAAATGAAAGAGGAGAAATCACAACGGACACTGCAGAAATCAAAAGAATAATCAGTAACTACTATGAAGAGTTATATGGAAACAAGTTCAACAATATAGAGGAGATGGACAAATCCCTACAACTCTACAATCACCAAAAGCTAGATAAAGAAGAAATAGAACACCTAAACAGACCAATTACAAGCAGCGAAATTGAAATGGTAATCAAAAACATCCCCAAAAACAAAAGCCCAGGACCTGATGGATTTACTAATGAATTCTACCAAACATTCAGAGACGAATTAGTGCCTATCCTTCACAAACTCTTCCAAAAATTTGAGAAGGAAGGGACAATACCAAACACGTTCTATGAAGCCAACATTACACTAATACCAAAACCGAATAAGGACAACACAGAAAAGGAAAACTACAGGCCAATCTCCCTAATGAACACTGATGCAAAAATCCTCAACAAAATTTTAGCTATCAGAATCCAACAATGTACCCATAAGATAATTCACCACGACCAAGTAGGATTCATTCCAGGGACACAAGGATGCTTTAACATCCGAAAATCAATCAATGTTATCCAACACATCAACAAAAAGAAATATAAAAACCATATGATAATATCAATAGATGCTGAGAAAGCTTTCAACAAAGTGCAACACCCATTCATGATAAAAACCCTTGAAATTCTTGGGATAGAAGGAACAGACCTCAACATCATAAAGGCCATCTATGACAAGCCAACAGCCAGTATCATTCTCAATGTTGAAAAGCTGAAAGCTATTCCATTAAGATCTGGAACAAGACAAGGATGTCCACTCTCACCACTGCGTTTCAATATAATACTGGAAGTCCTAGCCAGAGCAATAAGACAAGAGAAAGACATCCAAGGAATCCAAATAGGAAAAGAAGAAGTCAGACTATCACTATTTGCAGATGATATGATAATATACATAGAGAACCCCAAAAACTCCACAGAAACACTAATTCAACTCATCAATCAGTTCAGTAAAGTGGCAGGATACAAAATCTACACGCAAAAGTCAGTAGCCTTCCTATACACAAACAATAAATCTGAAGAAGAAGAAATAAAAAAAAAATCCCTTTTATTATCGAAACAAAAAAAAAATCAAATACTTGGGCATAAATCTAACAAAAGAGATAAAGGACCTATACAAAGAAAACTATAAAACACTGTTGAAAGAAATAGAAGAAGACAGGTGGGCGGAGCAACATGGCGGCGAGGAGACGCTGCGAGTAAGATCTCCCATTAAAAAAAGTTAATAGGGAGGAAAAGCGGCAGGTCCCAGTGAGAACTGGGACACAGAAGATAAACGGAAGACTCCAGCAAATTACCCGAAGAAGAAAGTGGCCATAAAAGAGGACTAGAAGGGAGGGAAGCGCAGAACCCTGCTCCCCTCCCCCGCCCACAGAGGTGGCACTCTCCGACCGGCAGAGAGGAGGAAAACAACAAACCAAAACGGCCAACAAAAACAAATGACGCAGCAAGTGGGACTGTGAGTGGAAAGGAACTAGTGCAGCCACCACACCCCGTGAACGGGAGCTGAGGCGAACCCTGCAGGATCCTCCGCGGCGGTGAGCGAACGGCTCCGGGCGCCATTAGAGAAGAACAAAGACCCCGGGAGACACGCACACAGCCCGGGCTGCCGGTAAGCTTGCGCGGGAAAATGGCGCACTCGGCGCGCGCTTGAAAAGCAAGTGCAGACCTGGATCGCGGCTGCCCAGGTCCCAGCGCCTGCAACCTAGGCTTGCGGGTAGACGACCTAGGCTTGCGGGGAGACGCGCGGAGATCCTCACTGAGGTGAAGGTCCCTCCCTGAGTAAGCAGGAACCAGGCACCCAGGCACGGGAGCGGTGCAAAAGGCGCCATTCCCGCGCCACTGAACTGGGCTACAGCCCGCGTCCTGGAACTGAGGCCTTTGAACTGAGACCCAGGGCACGAAAATTTGGGGCGTGGGTTCTCCACGACGGTGGGGCACAAGGCAGACACAGCACCCCAAAGCTGTTGAGGTGTACCCTACCATTCCTGCTCTGTTCCCTGTCCCACAGGGTAGGGGGAGGCGAAAAACAGCCCCCCAAGGACAATAGGAGAGATCTCTGGCGCCACCTAGCGACCAGGAAAAAAAAGTCACTAACACCCCATAAAACAGGAAATTTCTTAAGACTGCTTGAAAAGGGCAGAAGGCTTCTGGAGGACCCAGTGGCCAGCCGGGAAGTTATTCCACGCCAGGCCCCTTCCGACCAGCAGTCTGAGCCCACAGAGGGAGCAGGCACCCACGTCCGGGGCAGACCGGGGGCGCAGAAGAGTGTGCCTGAAACCGGAGGCGCAGGGACTGCATCCCGCTTCGCCATTTGAGAACAGGGAAATTTCTTCAGTAAAAACTGCCTAAAACCAGCAGAAAGCTCCCCCAGAAGACAGAGATGGCTCCTGGAAGAGCCAGAGGGGAGCGGAGAAGTTCACCCAAGATGCCAGTCAGTCCGAGCAACACAGTGTCCCAACACATACGACAAATTAGAAAACAGACAGTAGGGAGTAGAAGAACCACACGCAACCTAAAAACTCCTCAGGAAAGAAGCACACCACAAAAAGAAAACCACTCCCCAGATGGCAACGACAGCAACTTGGAAGAACTTCTGAGCCTTCCAGAAAGAGAATTTAAAATTGCCATGATTAAAAAAGTGATAGATCAAAAGAAGGAAATTGAGTCCCTAAAGAGGGAAGTAAGAGAAATGCAGGAGATCAAAGAATTAATGGAGGAACTAAAGAACTCTGGGAAAAGCAATGAAAGCAGAATAGATGAAATGGAAGAACGAATAAGTAATTTGAAGACACAGAAATAAAAAGAACCAAAACAGAAAAGGAAAGAGAAGTACGAAGGAAAAAGAATGAAGAAAGACTTCGGGAACTATCTGACTCCATGAGGAAAGGAAATATAAGAGTTATAGGAATTCCAGAAGGAGAGGAGAGAGATGTAGGAACAGAGAAAATATTCACAGATATAATTGAAGAGAACTTCCCAAATGCAAAAAAGGAGCTGAAAATTGATATACAAGAAGCAAGAAGAACACCAAACTTCCACGACGAAAGGAAAAACACAGCAAGACACATAATAGTAAAGCTCCCAAGAATCCAGGACAAGGAAAAAATAATGAAGCTGACAAGAGGGAAGAAACAGATAACATTCAAAGGAAAACCAATCAGGCTGACATCAGACTTCTCTGAAGAAACACTACGGGCAAGGAGAGAGTGGAGGGACATAGTCAACAGACTCCAAGAAAACAGATGCCAACCAAGAATACTCTATCCCGCAAAGCTCTCTTTCCTCCATGAAGAAAGAATATGGACCTTCCCAGACAAAGAGAAACTCCGGAATTTCATTGCGACTAAACCCCCACTCCAAAAAATACTACAAGGAATCCTAAAGCCAGAACCTCAGAGGGACGAATAACAACGAAAGAAGACCAAAAAAAAAAAAAAGTTATTAAAAGAATAAATAAATAAAAGCAAAGGAAAGACAAACATAATGGCAAATACAGATGCTAACATATCAATATTAACTCTAAATGTAAATGGACTAAATTCTTCAATAAAAAGACACAGAGTTGCAGCCTGGATTAAGAAACAAAACCCAACCTTTTGCTGTCTCCAGGAAACACATTTAGCTACAAAAGATAAAAATAGGCTCAAAGTCAAAGGATGGAAAACAATCCTACAAGCAAATGGGCCAAAAAAGAAAGCAGGAACAGCTATACTTATATCAGATAAAACAGACTTCAAACTCAAAAAAATAAAAAGAGACCCCAATGGTCACTACATTATGATTAAGGGGACAATACTTCAAGAAGAAATAACAGTCATTAACATATACTCACCAAACGAAAAAGCACCAA